ACAATCAATTATTGAAGCTCACTCGTTTCTGCTACAAAAATATCGCAATTCAGTATATTTACTGAACAATTCATTCGCAATTTCATAAAACGACCAACACCATTTAAAAAAATCGTAAAATAAACAACAAACAATGAAACCAATCAACAGTTCTCACCTATACGGTGTAATTTCGGTGAATGGGTCAAGCGCTTCAAATAGATGCGTATGCACCGAGCACAGAGTTTTCAAGAAATTCATCTCAAACAGTGCCTCATAAGACGGCACTTCCAGCACAAACTGAGCCAGGAAATCCACTGAAATTTCTCTTAACTGAAAAACTTGGAAACAAGAAAACAGACACAAAAAAATGAAATCAAAACAGAACCAAATACAAAAAAAACATCGCGCGCAACTTCACTATGGATCTAATGTCGATCCATACTATATATTCTGTAAAATCTTTGTGCTGCTTGCATTTTGCTCCAATTTGCTAAATATGGTACCAATAATTCAAAAAAAAACGAACTTGCTGGAATTGGACTACCATAGCACGGTATCTGCACAAAGATATCGATAAATTCATCGGCCCACGATCGCTTTGTTCGTGTCTTATTTGTGCTGCTTACTTGCGCCCTTCCAGCAGCAGCAGCAGCACCAGCTGATGCCTTTCCGGTGGTGGCAAGAAGTGATTCGGGTTGCTGTGAAGCAGGTATCAGTCGAGTGGCCGCCTGCTCGTCGTTTTCGATCGGCACTCGGTTGCCTTGCTGCAACGGCCACGCTACCGATTCCCATGCTAATCGTGCACCCGAATACTGCGTACCACGCGTGTCGAATCCCTTCAATGAGCAACAAACGTGCTGGTGCTAGTTTGCGGTGGGACGGTCAAAGGGAAAACAACAACAAAAACTGCGATTTTTCACTGAACTGACTGACTCTCAAATTATCCATGAATTACATTTATTTTCCACTGAATTTTTTAGTTATTAACTATTTGCTGCGCTTAAACTTTCGCCTCACAATGCTCAATAAATTTTTTCGCAATACACCACCGCCGTACAGCAATCGACCAACAAAACAATTACGTACTAAATGCAATTATAAAACAAAAAACAAGCTAACAACCGAAACTTTTTTTT